TTGAGGTCAGCCTGGTCTACAAGAGCGAGTGCCAGGATAGGCTCCAAAGCTACACAGAGAAACCCTGTCTCGAAAAACCAGAAAAAGAAAAGAAAAAAGGCTTGCCCTTTATTGTACCAGTAAAATATTGAAAGGGAAGTAATAAGCAAGATAGTTGGCCAGATGGAAGGAAAGTGTTCTGTCAAAGGGACTAGGAACAGCAAAATCGGAGAGAAGAGCCCCTCTAGATGCCCCACAAATAGAAGGCACGTGTGGCCGGAGTGGAACCATGAGGGGGAACCATAGAGGATGACTAGAGAAGAAAGACTTCACCCAGTGGCTTGCAAACCATTGTGAGAGTGTTGACTTTTGTTTAGACATGAGAAGCTGCTGAGAGACTCTAAACAGAGCGGGGACTTCATCTGACACATTGTATAAAGGGCGGGGGGGACACAGGAGGTCCAGAGGGGGGAGAAGGAGGAGGAGGAGGGGGAGGGGGGGAGGGAGGGGGGGGGGGGAGAGGGGGGGGGGGGGGGAAGGAGGGGGAGGAGGAGGACATGGAGGACGGAGTAAATGAAGAATCCACAATTTCCAAGCCAGAAAGGTCAAGATCCCCGGTTTGGGATCCAGCTTCCAGGAAAAGATGGAATTCTCACCCACAGTTGTGATGTGAAACACGGAAGACTGTCCTGAGGGAGACAAGAGTCGGGGGATCATTTTTCAAGACAATGCTGCACGTCCAGCACGGGCATGGCAGTATCACCCCAACCCCTGGGAGGAAAGGCAAAAAGATCCAGAGTTCAAAGCCAGTAGCAGCAGAGCGTTTGAAGCCAGCGTGTCTGAAAGACAAGACAAAACAAAAAACAGGGAACTGAGGAGAGAGTTTGGCAAAGCACTTGCCTTGGAGATGAGGACACATGGGCTCCAGGGCCCATGTAAACAGTTGTGTAGGGTGGCCTTTTGCAAGCTCAATGCTGGGGATGCAGAGACAGAGGAGGGATCCTAGGGGTCAATGGCCAGCCAGCCTCAGTGGTAAGCCCCAGGTCTCACCAAGAAACCATGCCTCAAAAATAGAAGCCGAAAAATATTTTAATAAGCCCGGCAGTGGTGGCACGCACCTTTATTCCAGTACTCTGGAGGCAGAGGCAGGTGGAGGCCAGCCTGGTCTACATATTGAGTTCCAGGACAGCCAGGGCTACTTAGTGAGACCTTTTCTTGATAAAAAGGTGGGGGGTGGGGGAGCAGGAGGGTTGGCAAGATGGCTCATCAGCCAAAGGCACTTGCTGTCAAGCCTGAGAATCTAAGTTTGATCCCTGGAATCCACATAACTGAAGGGAGTTCCCATAAACTGTACTTTGATCGCAGACACACTGTGGCTCACCTCCTTCGAATAAATATGTGTAATTAAAAATAAAATGGTGGACAGCAGTCCTAAAGGACAGGGCTCAAAGTTGTCCTGTGGCCTCCATGTGCACTTACACACACACACACACACACACACACACACACACACACACACACACACACAAACGCTCATTGGGATTCTGGCTACTATCACTCCCACCCTGAACCCCAACTAACAGGAATGCCAGTCTTGGCTGTCACCGCGCCAGGGGTCCTCAGACTCTAGCCCAGCAGTGTCCAAAGATCCAAAGAGTTGTGTAGGTGTTGCTTTTGATGACAAGCACTTTCGAGGTGCTTTTTATGACAAGCACTTTCCCCCTGCCCTTTCTCGTCCTGGTCTAAGGAATTATCAGAGATGAATGGCTTTCAGACCAGCCGACTTCCCTGCTGAGCCGTCTCTGCTTTGATCTTCAGTTTTGAGAGAAACAAGAGAATGGCCCTAGAGATTGGGCTCCCTTGGTCTTTGTGTTGTTTTGAGTCGTCATTTTTTCTTTTTCTTTTTTTTAAAGATGTAGTTTGGCCTGGTGGTGGCGCACGCTTTTAGTCCCAGCACTCAGGAGGCAGAGGGCAGGTGGATCTGAGTTCCAGGCCGCCCTGGTCTACAAAGTGAGTTCCAGGACAGCAGCCTAGATTATATCCAAAAAACCACCACCACCAACAAAAAATGATACAGCCTGAGCCTCCAGAATGCTGGAGTTGTAGGTGCGCACTACCATACTTGGTACAACTACAAGTCTCTCCAAATATTTTAGGGGTGTTTCACCTACCTGCCAATCACCACACATGCCCTTTTTTTTTGTTTTCTTTTGTTTTGTTTTTTAAAAAGATCGATACGAACTGTATGGTGGTGCAGCCTTTAATCAAAGCACTCAGAGTTCAAGGACAGCCTGGTGTACATTGCAAATTCTAGCACAGCCAGGGCTCCATGAGGACCTGTCTCAAAAAAAATTTAAACAAGTATATTGTTCTGGGGATGCAAAAATACTTATAACATCTACGATTTTTTTTTAAAGGAAAACCCTGTTTTCTATTCCCACCGTTAACAGCCAGGGCATTTTATGCCAAGCACTGCAAGCCATCGAGCAAAGGCTTGGGTCAGGAGCGGCAGAACCCCGGGCCGGTGAACATTCCTGGCATCTTGCCTGCAGGACGGGGACAAAGCAGCGACCTGTGGAAACCCTGGCCCAGAAAGTGCCTGAGAGCCTGCCCCAACCAGTCAGCTGCCTCAGCAAGAGGACCCAGCCCGCGCACCGCGTCACAG